GAAGATGATCGATGCCAAGATGAAGGACGACGAAGGGGCTGACCTCACGGACCTGATCTCCGAGGGGACCTCCCTCTACCTGCCCTGGCGCACGGGCGTTGACATGGTCCGCTTTGATGCTATGCGGCCGACGCTTGGCAAGTGCAACGTCTCGGATGCTATACGGGCTGACCTCTTCATCAACTACGTCGTCGCGGACAGGCTGGTGGTCTGGATCGAGAGGGGCCATGCTTACAGTAAGGTCGTCTTAAAGTTCTGTGACCTTTCCAAGACGCTGTTGACTATTCCTGAGGAAGACGCAAACCTGGGCCGCGCCGCGGCCATGGCCCTCGCCGAGGTCATCAAGGTTTTAGATGTGGTGGAAGCCGTGGCGGCCAACACGGACGCCATCAGCGAGGCGACTGACCTGGACCTGTTCGCTGATATGGAGGCGGTGCTGTCTGCGTCGCAACAGACATCCAGAAAGAGCGTATTCGGCATTGTCGGTCAGGCACTCTCGAAGGCGGAGCCGTGGGCATCGAAGTTCAACTTGGGAATACAGCGCGCGAAGACTCTTAAGCATTACGTTCCAGGCATCACGGAGCAGATCGGTAGGGCCACTTGTCTGGAAGTCACGCCATCGAAGGCGTTCTGCGATGCGGCCGATGAACTTACGCCCAAGGTCCCATACTACACGAAGTTAGCGGGCCCCACTGCAGTGGAATGTTTCGAGGGTGTGCTTGCTAGTAAGATCAACGCCAGCGCCGAGGCCGCACTGGAGCAGATTCAGAAGGTGGAGGTCGGTTCCAAGTCCGCGGAGGATGTTCAGCGGGATTCGGACTTGCTGAGCGCGTACCAGAGGACCGTGCGGGGCGCGGTGGAAGCGATGCCCATGAGGGACGAGTTCCGACGGCTGAACCAGCGCATATCTGCCGCTGTATCGACGCTGGCCTCCGCCACGACCGAGGCTTCGTACGTCATCTCCTTGAGGGCCGTGGCTACCGACATGAATAAGCTCGGCGAGGAGATGAAGGCAATTGAAACTGCCGCGTCGTCACCTGTTGCATCGGGGGGCCTCGTCCCCGAGGCGGCGAAGGATGCGTTCGACAACGTCCTGGCGGCCATGGGCAGCGATCAGCCCATGGATTCAGAAGAGGACAGGTCCCGTATCGCAGAGGTCCTGACGCACCTCGCTGGGCTCGTGACCGCTGAGAACAAGGTCTTGGTCGACGATGCGTCCGAGACTTGGCAGATGGTTCGGGAGTGCGAGAGCAGCGCGAAGATCGCCGCTGACAAGGAGGCCTCGGCTGACAAGACGTCCAAGGCGACCGTGTCTACTGCCATCGCGACGTGTTCCCGCCACGTCCAGGCTTTCAACAAGAAGGCCAAGGCGGCTAGTTGGTCCAAGGGGGAGGCCGCGCCGTATTGGAAAAAAGTTATCGCTTACTTCGGGGAGCTCGGCGAGCAGGTTCAGAAATGGAAGCGCAGCGGCGTGGGCGGCAGGGCGGAGACGTTGGCGGCGTCCCTCCTCAACGTCCAGGACAAAGTCACCCAGGACAGCGACATTTCCAGCTTCATGGATTGGCTCACGGACAAGTCCGCCCTCGTCGAGGTTCAGGGCCCCAAGGTCGAGGCCTTCACGAAGTTTAAGTCAGACGCGTGGGAGCGCGCGGTCGAGCAGCTGATCAAGGATCTCCGCTTCAAAAATGGTTGCCGCTGCCTCCTGCAGTATCCATCCCATCCCTCTTCCTGGCCGCCGCCTGCCCCTCCCCCTTCTCCAGCTCTGCCCTCCCCCGCCCACTCGCTGCCATACCTTCTATCCTCTCGTCGTGCTACCGTCCGCCGCCGAGGGGGCCGCCCCTCGCCCCCATCTGGCCCCGTCGTCCTCGCTGCCCCCCAGGGGGCGTGACGGCGGCGGAACCGACGATGGCGACGGCGACGGCAGCGGCGATGGCGAAGGAGGACGGCGACGGCGACGACGTCCTTGTTCCACCCCAGAGGGCACGACGACGGCAATAACGACGACGGCGACGACGACGACGACGAAGGAGGAGGACGACGACGACGACGACGGCGGCGGCGACGACTGCGACGACGAGGAGGATAAGGAGGAGGAGGACGACGACGACGACAACGGCGACGGCGACGGCGACGGCGACGGCGACGACTCCTCCACTTCCTGATCATCCTCGTCTTCGGATCGCGCACCAACTGGGGAGGGGAAAGGAAGGCTGAGGGAGAGTGGGATGGAATGCTGCGAGTAGGGAGGGCGGTAGGGTGGATAAGGAGGAGGAGGAGGAGCATTCGGGGGAGAAGTCCAATCGCCATATTGGGCTGGTTTCTCGGGGCCGTCGTCGTCGCGGTCGTCGTCGTGGTCGGTCGTGGTCGGTCGTGGCCGTCGTCGCCGTGGTCGGTCGTGGTCGTCGTCGTCGTCGCGGTCGGTCGTGGTCGTTTCCGTCGTCGTCATCGTCGTCGTCGTCGGCGGCGGCGTCGTCGTCGTCGTGGCCGCCGCCGCCGTCGCCGCCGCCGTCGCCGCTGTCGTCCTCGTCGCCGTATTCGCGTCGTCGTCGCCGCGTCGCCGCCGTTGTCGCCGCCGCCGCCGTCGCCGCCGCCGTCGTCGTCGTCGTCGTCGCTGTCACCGCGTCGTCGTCGTCGCCTTGTCGCCGCCGTTGCCATCGCACTCATGTCGCGCTCCTGGTACCCCAGGACAAGGACGGCTACGTCGAGTACGCCAGGGCGAGTCAGGTCCCCGAGGATGAGGACCTGATGAAGAAAGTCGTGGAGGACACGGCGATGGCTCTCGATCGTTTCTTCACGAAGGTCATCCTCGAGGCGGACGCTCTGCACAAGGACGGGTTCTCCAAGCGGGAGGCCATGATTGCGATCCAGTCGAAGCTCACAAAGTACAACCACCCGTCGTCGACCAGGCTCAACTCGGCGGTGCTCTCAGTGTACCGCGCGGGTCTGCGGATGCAGAAGACCAGGCCGCAGCCGAAGAAGGTTGCTGCGTGAGGGGATGCCGCCCGCGGCGCGTGGACGACGACGACGACGACGGCGACGATGATGGCGGCGGCGACGACGGCAACGGCGGCAACGGCGACGCCGACACGAAAACAGTACGCCGAGACGTGCGAGCCCGCTCGGACTGCCGAGGCGCGCGAGGGCGAAGCCCATAAACATATGTTTTGGATAGAGCTTGGTGCGCCTGCGGGTGCGCTCGATAGAAGGCGCGCCGACGGCCTTATCGCATCCTGCGCTGGCCCCCCCCCACTGTGAAGATGCCCCCCTTTCGGCCTCGCGAGTTCCAGTCACTTCCCCTTTTCCTGCCCCCCCCCCTCCTTGTCTGTCCCTGCGCTCTCCGCTCCCCTTGCCCCCTTTCCACCGCTCCCCTCCCTCGTTCCGTGCACATCCCGCCCGTATTCCTCCTTCCCCGTTCCCCCGCTCTCTTCCAATCCCCTCGTTTGCTCCCCCTCCCTCTCCTCGAGCTCCCGCGGTGCGCGGTGGCGATGCGGCGGGCTCCTCGGGGGCGTGCTCTGGTCGACGATGTTGGGGCCCGCAGGGCAGTGCATTCGTATCCCAGCTCGCTCCGCATCGTCTTGTCTGGTGTGGTTCACTCTTCGTCTGACTTTCTCTCGGAGCATGGGGGTGCCGTCGTTCCGCCGCCGTTCGGGGCCGCTCTAGCGCTCGGAATGTCTGGCGACGCTCCGCCGTTTTGGGTTGAGTGTTGTGGGGTGCGCGCGCACCTGGCGTACAAAACGCAAGCGTTGCAAATACATTTTAAAAACTTTCGCAAGGCATCTATGCCACGTGGTCCCGCGAGGGCTACCCGCAGACATTCCAGGGACATTTGGGAGCACATTGGTGACTTCTCAATACCTAAGGTGTCCAGCACCTTGCGGCCCTTGCAGCCCTATCGTGCGTCTTTATAAGACGCGTTGATTGTAGTTTCTGGCGTGGGCATGTGGGTTGCCCTCGCTGGTGTTTGCGCGGCCAACCGCGACGCCACGCATGAGACAACCTTGAAACGCTCCGCCCCTGCCTTTCAGCTGCACCAGGCCAAGCCCAGTCACGCGTGTTTGTGCGTTTGTGTGTGATTTTGTGTGTGTGTGTGTTTGTGTGTGTTTGTGTGTGTGTGTGTGTTTGTGTGTGTATGTGTATGTGTGTATGTGTATGTGTGTACGCGTGTGCGTGTCTGCGTCTGTGTCTGTGTCGGTGTCTGTGTCTGTGCCCGTGCCTGTGTCTGTGTCTGTGTCCGTGTCTGTGTCTGTGTTTGCGTCTGTGTGTGTGTGTCTGTGTCTGTGTCTGTGTTTGTGTCTGTGTCTGTGTCTGTGTCTGTGTCTGTGTGTACGCGTCTGTGTCTGTGTCTGTGTCTGTGTGTGTGTCGAGGTCCCGTTCAGTTTCTGTCTTGTTCATGGCCGAAGCCAACTGTCTCCACAAGCTTCTTGACTTCACTCTTCTCCCTGGTGCCCCAGCGCCTCATCCCACTATGATGCGCGCTGCCTTCGGGTGCAATGCATGTAGTCGTTCGTCCGGTGCCGGTTGTGACCCCGTGCACGGGCGTCCGATTGTGCACGGTGGCAGTGCGCTCAGAGAGTTGTCTCGATCTCGTGGCTCCGTGCCAGGCGCCAAGGTTGTGGCGCCGGTATCGACCACGCCACCACGTTTGGCCGAACCTGTTTTGCGTTGACTTGCGTTCATGCGTGACCACGTTCATTGGCCGAGTCCTTTGACTTGAGGAGGGGGAGGGTAACGGGGAGGAAGAGCAGGGAAAAAGAGGAGGAGGAAGAGGAGGAGGAGGAGGAGGAGGAGGAGGTGGACGAGGAGGAGGAGGAGGAGGAAGAGGAGGAGGAGGAGGAGGAGGAGGAGGAGGAGGAGGAGGAGGAGGAGGAGAGGGGAGGAGGAGGAGGAGGAGGAGGAGGGGGAGGAGGAGGAGGAGGAGGAGGAGGAGGAGGCTTCAACAAACCCACATAGAGGTCCAAACTTGCACACACCTCGATCCGACCTTTGATCACTCGACCCAGGTGGGCGTGGGCGTGTTCGAGTTCGCGGAGCACCAGGAGCGCATGCTCGAGAAAGCCAAGGCCCGGGGCCCGCTATTGCCAGCTCACAAGGGCGTGAAGTGCTGAGGGCTCTAGCGCGGCTGGCAACCTTGAGCAGTCGACGCTCGCAGGCCGGATCCACCACTACACCCGGGTCTGGTGATGGGTTTGTGTTCCACCACCACCATCATAAGTTGGAGGGGGGAAGGAGGTGGAGGATGAGGATGAGGAAGAAAAGGGGGAGGAGGAGGAGGAGGAGGAGGAGGAGGAGGAGGAGGAGGGAGGAGGAGGAGGAGGAGGAGGAGGAGGACCCTCTCCCCCTCCTACTTGTGGTGATGGCGGTCTGCGTGACACGTGGCGGACCGATCCCGGCCGTGGCGATCCCCTCGCCTCGCTCCAGGGCGCGGGCAGGCGGCTGGAGGGGCGCCTCGAGGGCGAGGGGCTCGTCACGGATGGGGCCCGTCACGGAGCAGGTCGGAGGCCGCGCCCAGGAGGAGTAGGTCTACAGCCGAGGTCGATTATATAGTAGGTCGACCCTGCCAATCAAGGGTACCCTTGTGCCCTGTGTGTCGCGACCCGTGCCTCCTGCATTCCTATGGCAATGTGGCCCTCGGAAGGGTCTTGCGTCCTATCGCGTGTCCTATCCAATCAATCCCGACTGTATTCCTCCTAGATGGGGTCGGAGTAGGTGGGGTCGGAGGACCGCGCCGCATCGGCGATGCATCGCCGGTGCGGCTCGATTTGGGGCCCGTTTTGCTGCACGTCGCTGTCGACGATGCATCGCCGACGTCGCCGATGCATCGCCAGTGCATCGCCAGTGCATCGCCGATGCATCGCCGATGCATCGCCGATGCATCGCCGATGCATCGCCGATGGTCGATTTACCGGCGATGCGGCGCGATCCTCCGACCCCATCTACTCCGACCCCATCCATGAGGCCCTTATAGGCCGCGCCCAGGAAGAGTAGGTCGCGAGCAGGGTGGCCCTACTAAATCAAGAGTACAATGGAAAAAACCCATGCCAGGAACCACCCCGCTTGCCTCTAGGGTGCTCTGGGTTTCGTGGGGTTCGGTGGTGCTGCTGTGGAGAGCGTGACGTTCCCGCACCAAAGAAGTCAATGGACGTCCTGGGGTCTCAGGGTTGGGTTTCTTGCGGAAGGTCTCTTGTGGCCGAGTTGTACAGACGGTACAGTCAGGCCGCTGATGTGAGGGCCACGTCGGGCTCACCAGGGGCTCTGGTCTTCGGGGCCGTGCCCCAGGGCCCGAGGTCTGGACATCCGCGTGTGGCGGAGGCCCGCCGTGCCCAGAAGAGGCCCTTCGTCCCTCAGTCAGGCCGCTGATGTGAGGGCCACGTCGGGCTCACCAGGGGCTCTGGTCTTCGGGGCCGTGCCCCAGGGCCCGAGGTCTGGGCACCTGCGTGTGGCGGAGGCCCGCCTTGCCCAGAAGAGGCCCTTCGTCCCTCCGATAGGCGCTCCGTCCGGCAGCACGATGGCGGCACACCCTGGTGCCAATGGCGTGGGGACGTCGCGCCCTCCGCGTGCCTGCCGCCAGGGATGCCCTCGGGAGGGTCCCGTGTCCACTGGGGTGCCCTCCCCCTATCAGCCCCGAGCGTACAGTCGGGGCCCTGAAGAAGGAACCCTTTTGGTTGGGGAGGGGCTCCGCGTTCCTTCAGTGTGCCACAGCTTGCCTCAGGCTTTCCTTCTGTCTTCGGTGGGACATCGAAGTTTAACTGATGGGAAAAAAAGGGGCCTCGTTCCTTATTTAGGTCAACGCCCCGACTGTACACGCATTCTCCTCCACCGCTCCCCCTCTCGTCCTCCGCCTCCTCTCCTCCGGCGACGACGTGCCACTGGCCCGCCCGCTCTTTGGGGGAAGCGTCAGAAGTACACGAGGGTCCAAGCACACATGAGCTTGGCTTGTCGGGTCCCTCCCCCACCGGGAAACGAAACCAGGGCCTCGACAATTTTGTCTTGCACTTTTTTTGAATTATTGGTTGGTGGAGACAAATGCGGTCGTCGCCGCGCGCTTGCCCTGATTTAGCAGTTTCGGTCGACGGACGCACGCGAAGCGCGCGAGCTTCCTTCTCATATGCCCCCTCAAGCCGCTTGAGGGGGCATATGCTCTGCTTGGGGTCTTCATCCCTGAATGTTGATCTGTTCGGCTGTACCCGGGGGGCCTTCGACCTCCGGCGAAGGGGCCCACGTTCCTGACACAACCTGTTCGTGTCATCTCCCGTCTGTGCCCCGACCCTGACCAGGTCAGTCGGACGCTGTGGATTGGTTTGCGTGTCCCTTCCCAGCAGAAACTGGAGGGTGTAGTACGCACCAGCAGGCATGGCCAGGACCAGTGTAGGTGCATCGCTGGCGTCCATGCAGCTGCATCTCTCTCCTCTCTCTCTCTCTCTCTCCTCTTCGCCCGTGTCCTGTCGCTCCTGCTTCTCATCCTCCTCCTCATTGCCTTCACCTCTTCGCAGTTCTCCTCATAATCCCTGTCCTCTTCTGTATCCGTCGTGACCTTCCGCTCCCTGGAGCGTTGGGAAGCGTGGCAGGGTGCAGACGTAGGCGAGAGTTGAGAATTGACGGAGCGCGACGCTCAGACTCCTCTGTGCTGTGTCCTCTCCCGTCCTGCGCCTCTTCTTCCTGTCCGCGTTCCACCTCCACCCGCCTGCTCCGCCCCAGGCTCAGAGGCGTTGTGGCTCATGCCATCCCTCCAGGCGCCAGCTCGTCTGTGGCCTGCAGTTGTGTACAGCGGCTGGGCGGTGTCGTTATTCAAAAACATCCCCCGCGCGCGGCCTCTCGTCGTCCTTGCCCTCTGTGGGGTTGCTCCTCTTTTTCCTGACGCCGAAACACGAACAAGCCAAGCAAACCTGGAGAGTGGGGACAAAAAAATAGTCAAAAACGTCCCCTTCCTCAGCCCGTGCCACTGCCAGCCCAGACCTCCGATGCCACGATAGCTCCGCCGGCGGGCCCCGCAGATCTCGACCCACTCTCGGTGCGCGTCTCGCCCAGCCAACCCCTGCCTTTGCCACCCCCATCGTCGTCGACATCATGATCATCAGCCTGACGCCTATACCCATCGGTCGTTGAAAGTGGGTATTTTTGGATTCCCAGATGATTCGAATCGACTTTCAGCGCCTTCCCACTTCAAGAGTCGAGTGGTTTTCCCTCTTCCTTCCTCTTGAGGAGGCGTGCGGAAGCCCAATCTATTTCCAACGCCTTCCTACTTCATGTTTCTACCTACTTCTTCCGACCGATGGGTAATCCTCACACGCTTTGTGGTCCCATAGGGAGCTCCACCGAAGGTCTCAGTGGCAGCGCCCGCATGGCGGCCCCACCCCTCGGCACACCAGTCTTACGCCTCGCAGCCCCACACGGAGCTCCAGCGCAGGCCCCAGTGGCAGCTCCCGCATGACGGCGCCGCCTCGCTTCAGCATCCCACTCGTACGCTTCGTAGCCCCAGAGGGAGCTCCACCCAAGGCCCCAGTGTCAGCCTCCGCTCGACGATGCGGCCTTATTTCGGCACACCCCTCGCACGCTTCGTGGCCCCATAGGAAGCTCCACCAAAGGCCCCAGAGGCAGCGCCCGCATGGCGGCGCCGCCTCATTTCGGCACACACCCCGCACGCTTCGTTGGGCCCATACGGAGCTCCACCGAAGGCCCAAGTGGCAGCACCCGTTTGGCAATGCCGCCTCATTTCGGCGCGCCCCTGACGCGCTTCGTGGCCCCACAGCGAGTTCCACCGAAGGCCCAAGTGGCAGCGCCCGCATGGCGGCCACCCCGGCAAGATATATGCAGCCCAATCCGTCCTTTTGCAGGTCCCCCTCCGTGTTCACATTTGCCCCGCTTCACTCGCAATTGTACATGGTGTTGCCCCTCGCCTGGATACTTGCTGTTTGATGTTCCCACGGCCGGTGTTCACTGTACTACGCCCTCATGAGCTGGCGCGCTAAGTGCATGCAGCGATTGACGAGATCCTCGTGAAGGGCGTATGCTTCTTACCTGGTTAAGAAGCAGCAGAAGAGCGAGGAGGGCGAAGACGAGGACCAGAAGGAGGAGGAGGAGGAGGAGGAGGAGGAGGAGGACGACGACGACGACGAGGTCTCCGCGTGCTTGCGTCGGAGGCCGGGTAGCGTGTTAGCCTGCCGCTGTGTTGGATTGCTGTTTGTTTTGTTTCTTTTCTGTTCGTATTCTTACTTCGTCTTTCTTTTCCGTGCTGCTGCTCCTCCTTCCGAGGTCTCCGAAAGCCCGATGAGGTACAACACCGTTCGAACACCTCGGTACTTCTCACCCTGCACCCCACGCTTCCAGAGACGTCCGAAAAGTGTGGAACACATCGAACGGATGCTCTGGAAACCCCACCAGACGTGGAGAAGCATGTCGGCGCCTCTTTGGGCGCTTCGCCGTCGCCGTTGCCAACGTCGCCGTCGCCGCACGCCGTCGCTGGCGTCGATTGCCGGACGCTGAACGACGCCGGTGCACTCTAAAAACGGATTCGCGAGATCATACAAGGCTACATTCGTCGTCGCCGTCGTCGTCGTCGTCGTCGTCGTCGTCGTCGTCGGCGTCGGCGTCGGCGTCGGCGTCGGCGTCGGCGTCGTCGTCGTTGTCGTCGTCGTCGTCGCCACGTGAGGCTGGGTAGCATGCCGCCACCTTGGGGCGCTCCCCCGCCGTGGGCGTACCCGCCCCCCGACGCCCCTGGGCCGCTCCGCGGGCCCAAGGGCCGCGGCAAAGGCGCTCCGCAGGGGGGGGCGACGGCGGCGGCGAAGGCGACGGCGGCAGCGACGATGGTGACGATGGCGACTACGATGATGGCGAGGAGGAGGAGGAGGAGGCGGAGGAGG